ATAAAATGGAAGACTACTAAGCCCTAAAGAATGAGAAATTAGATTCATTGATAGGAACATGGATACATATTGAGGATATCCTCTTAAATGAAATAAATAATTCACACATGTATAAATACCGAATAGTTTCTCTGGTGTGAAAAACTGTCATGGTACATAAGATCCTAATGGTATAATTGACAATGTTTTGAAATAGGAAGAAAAGGGCTAAAGGTGTAGGGAAAGTGGGAAGGGTAGGGGAAAGCTACTAAAGGAAAAGAAAAAAATATGACAAAATGAAAATAAAGTGTTTGTAAATGGGAGGGGAGGAGGGGGTGAAGGGAGGGCAGGGACAAGGGGAAAAAAAAGAGAACCAAGATCTGTCATTTAAAGGTACAAGATCCCAATGATGAATATAACTGTACTGTATAACTAAAATGTACCAATAAAATCAATGAGAAAAAAGAACTAAATCTTGGCACAACAACTAAATCTTAACCATCTCAGGCATAGAAAGACATTTAAGATCAGGAACATTTTTATGGTGTATGTGCAATCCTTAGCAAAACACATCTCTAGAAACAAAAGCTATGATTGACTCCAGTTGTACTGCCAAGCAGAAAATTAAACCAATAATCAAGAAAAAAAAAAGATCACATCTGAATTTTTACACCCTTCTACTGTCATTAAAGATTGTATTTGGAAGTGTTTTTTACCTATGATGTGGTAAGTAGGAAATGTGTCTGATTATATTATTGTGAATGAGGTGGATATTTATGAGGTATTTAAACTTTCTTTTCATAGAAAAATCCTTTGACAACTTTCTGTTAGTAATATTGATCCTCTTGAAAAAACTCTAGGATTATATAAACTAGTTCTTGGGGAAATTAACTGCACTTTTCCCTTCTCTTTTTCTTACAATGCAGAAATGTTTGATTTTATATAGTTGCTATCCCAATTCAAACCCTTGTTTCCTGTTGGCTAGACCGTTATAGAAGTCTAATAGCCAGTCTCCCTTTTTCTACTTACTTCTACCTCACTCGGTGTATTTTGCACACTTCAGCCAGAATGCTGCTCCTAAAATGTGGAATGAATTGTGCCACTTATGTTCAGAAATTTCCAATGGCTTCCCATCTTGAAATAAAGTCCAGCGTTTCTACCATGGCCTACAAGTTGTACATTACCTGATCTCTGTTCCTTCTCTGACTTTATCTTTGATACTCTTTAGCTACTTTACTGTAGCCTCATTTTGACTGCTTTGCTCTTTATCAAACATGCCAATCGCAGTCAATTCCTTCTCAATTCTGTTCCTCTTGCTGTTTCCACACCTTGAAGTTCTTCTTATCCAGACATCCCAAAACTACTTTTTTTCTTGTTTTATATTTAAATGCCATCCTTTTTCCTCATTTTTCCCCTTTATCACTCTCTTCTTCCCTACTTTTGTTTTGAATATGACATAGCTGTCAGGCATACCCAATTTTTCCTTTTCATGTAGAGCAACACTGCCCAAGAAAACTTTATATGGTTATAAAAATGTTCTATATGATGAACAAATCCTCAGTAGCACGGGAACTAGCAGAAAGAATCAACAACTGGGATCTCATCTTACTAAAAAGCTTCTGTACTTCAAAAGAAACCATTAGCAGAACTAAGAGACAATCTACAATGTGGGAAAAAATTTTTACCAGCTGTACCTCAGACAAAGGACTAT